TCCTTCACATTTAGTGAATTTGATTTTGTTGGTTTTTAAAATTGTATATATTTAAGTTATATAACTTGATGTTTTGATATACATATACATAGTGAAATGATTACTATAGTCAAGCAAATTGACATGTCCATTTCCTCACATAGTTACCTCTTTTTTTTCTTTTGGTGAATAAGAGCACTTGAAATCTACTCTCTCGGCAAGTTTTCAGCATATAATACAATATTATTATATACTATAGTATTAGTATAGTATTGTCATTATGCTGTATATTAGAGCTCTGGAGTTATTCATCCTACATAACTGCAACTTTGCACCTTTGTACATCTCCTCGTTTCTTCCTGCCGTCTCTCCGCTCCCACTATAACCACCAGGCTTCTACTCTGTTCCTATGTATTTAATGTTTTTTGATTCCTCATATAAGTGAGAACATTTAGTATTTTCTTTCTGTGTCTAGCTTACTTTACTTAGCATTAAGTCCTCCAGTTTCATCTATGATGTTTAAAATGGCAGAATCTCTTTTTTTAAGGCTGAATAATATTTCATTGTATATATTTACCACAATTTCTTTATCCATTCACTCATTGACATTTAGGTTGTTTCCCTATCTTGACTGTTGTGAATAATGTTGCAATGAACATGGAAATACAGACATCTCTTTGAGGTACTGATTTCATTTCCTTTGGGTATATACCCAGAAGAGGGATTGCTGGATCATATAGTGGTTCTATTTTTAGTTTTTTTTTTGAGGAACCTCAATACTGTTTTCAGTACTGGCTGTACTAATTTGCATCCCCACTAACATACAAGGATTCTCTTTTCTCCACATCCTCGCCAACACTTGTTATCTCTTGCCTTTTGATAGTAACCATTCTAATTGGAGTAAGGTGATATCACTGCAGTTTTGATTTGCAGTTCCCTAATGATTAGTGAAATGGATTTTTCAGCAGAAACCTTGCAGATTAGAAGGGAGTGGGATGATATATTTAAAGTGCTGAAAGGAGGGCTGGCCCGGTGGCGCACTGCTACAGTGCGCTGCTTGGGAAGCGCGGTGGCGCTCCCGCCGAGGGTTCGGATCCCACATACAGACCGGCCGCTCACTGGCTGAGCGAGGGGCGGGAGCAACACCGAGGGTTGCGATCCCGTGGCCGGTCCCGGTCTGGTACGGGCACGACACTGAGGGTTGCGATCCGTTGCCGGTCACGAAAAAAAGACAAAAAGGAAAAAAAAAAAAAAAAGTGCTGAAAGGGAGTTCGAGTTGAAATGAAAGGATGCTAAGTAGCAGGAAGAGAGCATATTAAAGTAGGAAACTGGCTGATAAAGGTAAATATATAGACAAAAATAAAAGTGTATTTCTATAAAGGTGGTGGATAAATCTCTTTATGATAAAAGTTAAAAGACAAAAGTATTAAAATAATTATAGCTAATTTATGTTAATGGATACAAAATGTAAATACATGTAAATTGGGACATCAATAGCATATAATGTGGGGGTAGGAGAGGTAAGACTGGAGAGTTCTTTTATGCAAGTAAAGTTGAGTTATGATTAGCTTATGACTGTTATAACTATCAGATATTTTATGTAATTCCCATGGTAGCCACAGGAAAATACATATAGAAGTTACACAAAAGAAAAAGAGATAGGAATCCAAACTTACTGAGAAAACAAACAAACCGCAAAACACAAAAGAACACAGCAAGGGAGAAAAAGAGGGACAAAAGACTGCAAGACAAATAGAAAGCAGTTAACAAAATGGCAATAGTAAATCCTTTCCTATTAATACCTACTTTAAATGTAAATGCACTAAACTCCTCACCCAATAAAAAGGTAAAAAGTGGCTGAATGGGTTAAAAATGTACAAGATCAAACTGTATGCTGTCTATAGGAAGTTCACTTCAGATCCAAGGACACACAGAGGGATGGAAAAAGATATTTCGTGCACATCCCAGTCAAAAGGAAGCAGGGTAATACATCAGACAAAGTAGACTTGAAGTCAAAAACTGTAGAGACAAAGAAAGTCATTACATAATGATAAAAAGGTAAATTCGACAGGAACATATAACAATTATAAATATATATGCACTCAACATCAGAACACCTAAGTATATAAAACAAATATTGACAGATATAAAAGAAGAAATTGACAGCAATACAATAATAGTAGGATATTTCAGTATCCCACTTTCAGTAGATAGAACATCTAGACAGAAAATCAATAAACAGCTTACTTGAACAATCCTGTAGACGAAATGGACCTAACACATATACAGAACTTTCCATTAGCAGAAGAATGCACATTTTTTTCAAATGCACATAGAACATTCTCCAAGAGAGGTCACATTAGGTCACAAAACAAATCTTAACAAATTTAAGATCAAAGTCATACCATGTATTTTTTTCCAACCACAATGGAATGAAACTAGAAATCAATAACAGCAAGAAAATGGGAAAACTGTTTGTGAATTTGTTTGTGAACGTGCAGTTTGGCAGGGCTTGGTTAAGGTAGCTCGTCTGGTTCCATGTACGGTCTGTCAGCTGGGGTGGCTCAATGGGTTTGGAGGACCCTACTGAGGGTTCCACCTCCAAGATGGCTGACTGACATGTCCTGCAAGTTGATGTGGCTGTCAGGTTCTTTCCACATGAACCTCTCCTTAGAAAGCTTGTGTTTCTTCACCACAGAGTAGCTAAGCTTCAAGAATGTCCCAGGACAACTATGAGGAAGTTCTATTGCTTTTTATGAGCTAGCCTCAGGAGTCACATAGTGTCACTTCCACTGGGCTCCCCATCTGAGTGGTCACCCCATCTCTCAGAGTACCATGTGGTCTCTCAGTATTGGTTGAGCAGCAACTACATGCCAAGCCCTGAGGGTAGGCACAGAGGTGAGCAAGACCAATACAGTCCCCATCCTCATGCAGCATAATTTCAGCAGGAGAGATAAACATTAAACTTGTAATGATAAAGTTGATTGGTTATAGTTGAGGTGAGCTGTAGAAGGAAAAGGTACATGTAACTATAAGAGTTTACAACAGGGGACTGAACTTGTCGAGGGACTCAGGGATGTGGTTTTGATTCGTTTGTTGAAGGATGAGAGGATGTGTAACTAGGTGAACCAAGGGTAGGGACTAGGAGATCAGCCTAGGGAGAGGCCTCGATATGGGAAGGTGTAAGGCCAGTCTAAGGGATGTCTGGCACGAGAGAGCCAGAGTGACAGAGATGAGGAGGACCGGGGCTGGATCCTGTGAACAGGGCACATCCTGTTCTTCAGTTCTCACTTGCTTCCCACCCTCACCTCCACCCTCCATCCCATCTCCAAAGCCCAGAAAGTCAGACTGTCCCTCTTGCCTATGAAATGAGAAAGGCGCATGTGAGGAGGAGATAGAACCCAGGGCAGCTCTGGGTCTTGTGGGGCCTAGCTTATACAATTGTGGGGAGGGGTCTTGAAGAAAAAAAATATAAAATTATGAATATAAAGGTGGGTGCATGCTTCAGTAGGGGCCATGTCAGTGAGGGACCTCCAAGTCTAAGTTTCATTGGCTTGGTGATGAGGCCACCATTGGTGCTTTTCCTAAAGCTCATAAAGCCTCCCTTTTATCTTGCCGGAGACATCCGTGCCCTACTTACATCCACTTCTTCCTGTTTTCTCTTTGGTTGAGTTGGCAAGTAGAGCACACATGTCTTACGTTGAAATCTCCTGGAAATTTGGCTCTCTCTTGCCCCCACTAGTGTCCAAAAGAACATGGGAATTTCCTCTTTTTGCCCAAGACTTCCATGATTTTTCCCCCATAATTAAGGAAGGGAATGTTGGCCTGGGACACTTCATTATTTTGGAAATGTGGCACAAGAATATGAATTTCCATAGACAAAATTACTCTGTCTGGGTGAGTCTAGACTGTCCATTGGCCAACAAGTTTGCTGGAGTCCACACTGGGTCTCTGAGAAGCCGCCTGAACTTATTCTGTGGGAGGGGAACAAATCACCTGGAACTACATTTTGTGGGAGGGAAAAACTCACAAACATGAGCAGTGACAATGAAGAAAGTTTAATAGTAAATAAATTACAACTAAAAAATGGCAGCAGCCTCTTCTCCCCAAAACCCACCGAAATGATCAAAACGGTGTAACAGTAGTGAAGAGCCTCTGTCAGTCTGGAACATGGGGAGGCTGCCGTCTGTAGATCAGAAACATCAGAGCGGTTGAGACCAGACTGAGGGGAAGACTAGCAAGCCCTCCAGATGCCATGGAGGGAATAAAACTCTGACCCCTCCCAAAATGCTGCTCCTCATTCCCTGGCCAAACTCCACATAGAGGCCCAAGCTGTCTGGAAATATGTCGGTTCTGGCGCACCAGGCGTTAGGCCCCAGCATTGGGTGGGGCTTTGACTGCTGAAGTCACCCAGCCTTGGTTAAAGAAAAGACCTGGTGTCCCTGTTAACTACTGCTTGCCCCTCCAAACAGCTGGAAAAAATCCCTTCTGCCCTGTTGCGTGCCCTCAGTCTAATGGCCTAATTGCCTCCAACTTTTCCCTTTGGGACTAAAAATTCAATACAGTCCCATTGCTCAGGCAGAACCTATTACAAACGTAGATTTTCTGCTTCCTCAAGGAGCAGATTGGGGGAATTACTGCACCATAAGAATTCTTTACCCAACCGGATTTATTGTTCATTTACATCAGAGAGCACCTAAAAGATACTTTCAGTCAAAGACTGAAAAGACACCTACTGTGTTCCTTTCTGCAAAAAGCACTTGAAGAAGCACTCCAGTAGACTGAGAAATGAATGAAATAAGGAATGCACTCGTGAAATCAGGACCACTGTTGAGGGGGGCTTCCTGGGAACCTGGAGCAGGACCCCTCACCATGCCGGGGTACTGGCTGCTTCGACGTTGGGTGGAGGGCTTGAAGCGCTCAGGGAGGAAGGCCCGCTGACTTGCAAGAAGGGAATAGGTGTTATTTACTCGTTTGCCATTAAATCCTGTTCCAACCTTTCCATCATGTCTCTCTCCCAGACTGTTTTTGAAAGAAATTGCCGCTCCGAGGATTGTGCCGCTGACCTGCAGCTTCGGGGTAAACTGTTGCTGTCCAGGTATGTCAGTGTTCCTTCCCCAACACTGTTCTGAGAAGCTTGTTTTTCTTGGCTCCAAGCCCAACACCTGAATGTGTATCCACTGAAGACGATACGCAGAGTTGCTGGGTTACAAGGATATTTTGTGGTTAAAAAAAATGTATGTTATAAAATAATTTTAACAACTATTATTTTGGAGGGATAGTTTGGTTTGTTTGCAATTCCACATATCTCACAGTTTAGCTTATATTTCTAATTTCTGTGAGTGTGTGTATGGAGGGTTTATTTTATGTTTACTCGTTGCATTATGTTGAACCATATGAAATTGCCAATATTTGACTTTTTGGGAAGATTTCATATGATTCAACCTTTTTATTTTTTCCCCACACTTAACAATGGCATCTGCTTTAACAACAAGTAATGTTTCTGTGGCAGGATGGGGTGAAGGAAAGGGGCAGGGTGGGCAGGGTGTCCTGATCCAAGTGCACAGACAGTCTCTTTATTATTTCAGGGTTTCCTCCCACATCTGCTTTAACAACAAGTAATGTTTCTGTGGCAGGATGGGGTGAAGGAAAGGGGCAGGGTGTCCTGATCCAAGTGCACAGACAGTCTCTTTATTATTTCAGGGTTTCCTCCCATGGTACCTAAATCCCCCAAGGCTAAAGGTGAACCGTACAGAGGCTTTCTGTTTCCTCTTTGCCAATCTTCTGTGTTAGGTTTCTTTTAGGATGAAGGTGCTGGTCCTGCATCATGTGCCATGTTTCAGAGAATGGTTTTCTTTTGAAACAATTCCTTCTGAAAGATTGTTTTAGCCTTGGGGCCAGAAACCCCTACACAAGATACATTACCATTTCTCACAAACAGACATCAGTTTTGATAGTTATTTTAAAAAATGCCATAGGTTTCTTTTAGGATGAAGGTGCTGGTCCTGCATCATGTGCCATGTTTCAGAGAATGGTTTCCTTTTGAAACAATTCCTTCTGAAAGATTGTTTTAGCCTTGGGGCCAGAAACCCCTACACAAGATACATTACCATTTCTCACAAACAGTCATCAGTTTTGATAGTTATTTTAAAAAATGCCATAGTGTGTCCCTAACTTGTAATTGTAAGAGTTAAGTTTGGGTGGAATGAAACAAATATCCCAACATGAACAGGTGACTGCACCAAGACATTTTACTTATGATGATAAATAATCTTTTTTTTTTTTTTTCCTTTTTGTCTTTTTTCGTTACCAGTAACGGGATCTCAACCCTCGGTGTTGCGACATGAACAGGTGACTGCACCAAGACATTTTACTTATGATGATAAATAATCTTTTTTTTTTTCCTTTTTGTCTTTTTTCGTTACCGGTAATGGGATCTCAACCCTCGGTGTCGCGCCCGCACCGCGACCGGCAACGGGATCGCAACCCTCGGTGTTGCGCTCGCACCGCGCTCAACCAGTGAGCGGACCGGTCTCTATATGGGATCCGAACCCTCGGCGGGAGCGCCACTGCACTCCCAAGCGCCGCACTCTACCGAGTGCACCACCGGGCTGGCCCGGTAAATAATCTTTTATCAAAGGAAAGTCATACTAAGATTCCTTTTCTTTGGTGTGAGTTTATTGAGGGAAGCTGATATAATACACACACTCACTCCTCCAAAGCATGTAAATATTAATTAGCATTACTTTTACTTGGGATAAGAGTAGTAGATTAAAGTAGCACATGTTTTGCCAAGTTTAGAAAATTACTTATAACTCATGGAGTGGATATTGGAATTGTTTCACATTAGTAAGAAGGGCCTCCTGGGATTATTAGAGCAACCAATTCTAAAGAAGAGTCATAAACTATCAGCTCATTAACATAAATTTTAAATAGGTCTTCCAAAAAAAGTATTTTAGGGAAAAAGTAACAGAAACAAAAATATATGGATTTGTTTTTATCTTGAGGCAGACTGTAAATGTTGGACATTTATTTTGGATCTTAGAAAACTTCATGTGGTGGGAAAATGTTCACTTGATCCAAGGTTGCATATTACGTTAGGAAAATCCTGATTAGTAGATGGTCATATCCATCTCTATTGAATCATGCTTTTCATATATGAAGATGTAAAATTCAAGGCTCATGGTCAGTAAAACTCCTTGTGGCTGGGCAGAATCAGTCTGCTTTGTGGGCCCCATAATTGATAATGCTGGAACAACTAGTGTGGTGGCCAAGGGCCAGACCCCCTGTGTATCTGCTGCTATTACCACAAGAAATGCTGCATAGCAAATTGCCCCAAAACTCAGTGGTGTAAAACAGCAGAATCTGCAGGTCAGCTGAGGGCTGGCTGGTCCAGGGTTCTTACCATAATTGATAATGCTGGAACAACTAGTGTGGTGGCCAAGGGCCAGACCCCCTGTGTATCTGTTGCTATTACCACAAGAAATGCTGCATAGCAAATTGCCCCAAAACTCAGTGGTGTAAAACAGCAGAATCTGCAGGTCAGCTGAGGGTTGGCTGGTCCAGGGTTCTTATGGATCAGCAGGTCAGCTAAGGGTTGGCCGCTCCAGGCTGGATTCAACTGGATCTTGGCCAATTTGCTCTAGGTTCAAGTGACCCAGTTCAGTTCTACTCCATGTGTCTTTCACTGTCCTCCTAGAGCCGGTGCTTGTGCATATTCTCCTTATGGCATGGCAGAGGTGGGAGAGGGCAAGGACTCTTAAGGCCTACGCTCACATCTGGTGCACTGTTACTTTAGCCTTATTCTGTTGGCCTCAGTAAGTCATGTGGCCAAACCCAAAGTCAAGGGACAGGAAAATATTCCCTGCCCTTCAGTACTACAAAGTCACACAGAAAGAGGCACCAATATGAGGAGAGGTGAAGAGCTGGGACCAGTAATGCCATCTGCTACACCATGTAAAGAGCAGGGTAGCTCTGTCTCTTATCCTGATGACTTATACAAAGGTACTTCAGAAAGTTCATGGAAAAAAGAATTAAAAGATAATACGAATCTTTCCATGATCTTTTTTAAGTACCCTCATAGTTTTCAGGGCTATTTCAGCCTTTCTTGTAATTCCATCATTCTAGAACTCAAACATTAGACCTGGAGAATGGGTGAGATTTTCTGAATCTCAGAAGACTGTCCGTGGACCAAAGCTCTGAGCCTCTCCTTGGGATGAGATATTTCCCTGGTCTCTCAAAATAGCTTTTTGGCTGGGTCCTTTATCAAGTAAATCTGTATTATGCTCTTGGACCCATAGCTTTTCCACAGGAGCCATCAGAGAAGTGTTAATTGATAATTAGATAAGCAGAGATATGAAGCCAAACCTATGATTTCAGTCACACTAGATTTCCCCAGACCTTCAAGTGTTTGCTCCCAGAGCCAGGCATGAAGCTAGGGACGGCATGGTCAGTAAACTGCTAGTGGAAACAAGACTCTGAATTTGGTTGACCAAGGCTTAGTGGCTTGAACCAGAGGTGAACTGCTTTGGTTTAACTCTCTTTATTGCCTGGGATGGGATGCACTTGCCTTCATTGTTGGAGCCAGACAAGTGCCAGGCACCAGGCTGCAGAAGTGATCGGTCTGTGGGCCCAGCTTTTCTGGTGTGCACAGGTTTGGTGGGAGAGGGGGACTGGTGACCATCTCACCACCTGGTGGGAGCTAGAAGAGAAGTGGCTGGGTTATGGCAGGCTGTGGAGCAGCTCCCAAGAGGCAGTATTAAGGGGAATGAGGAGGACTCAGGCACTCTGGGCAGAGGGGAAGCATGAGCAGAGGTGTGGAGAAGAGGACTCTGGTGAAGAGTCGAGGCAGTGGGAAAGAGAGAGAAACTGTGCCACAGCTGTGAGTTCGGACATCATCTTGACGTGTGTAGGAGTACGACAGAGTCGTAGCACAGGTGCATTTAACCTAACAAGAACGCAGCCGGGCTTGCTCAAGGTGGGCAGGAGGGAAGGCGGGGAGAGGACAACGTTGAGGTGGTGAGGGACACTCGGTCCCGTCTTCCACTCCGTGAAAGCATGTTCCAGCTTGAGTTTTGTGTCTGCTCCTCCCACCATCCGTCTCGGCTCCTACTTGCCTGACATGGGTCTGTGGGGCAGCCACCGTCTGTCTCAGTGCAGGAACACCCTTGGCAGGGTGGTTGTAGTGATCTTCAGCATGCTGCCTCCCCAAGGGCTTCTCAAGGGCAATTTGGATACAATTTTTTGCCTTTTGAGCTGTCTTCAGAACTGAGTTCTCATGTGAGTGAGCTGCAGCCCACTGTATGAAAAGTTGAGGCAGAAGCGTGACAGAGAAAGATTCCTCCGATGACTGTGTTGACAGTTGGTACAAGGTGTCATGGCTGGAGGCAGCCAATTACCCACCAGACTGAGGAGCCGTTGTCGTGAGAAGACAGAGGGAAAGACATCTGGGAGTGACTGGTCACCCAGAGTGGTCAGGGGTCAAGCCTGGAAACGCTGTCTGTGACCAGGACTCATGGATGTTTTTATTTTTCTCTCCAGAGAGTATGAATTCTTTCAGGCCCGTTCTCTCTTAAAACAACTCTTCCATTAGAAGTCCACAATCTTTAATGGGCTTGAGCCTAGTTCCAGTTCCAAAACATGCCATTTCCAAAATGTCCAGGAATAGGGAGGAAGCTGTTTAGATAGTTTATATTATATAAGACTGAAAATTCCATTCATAAAATGATGCGACTATGTTTTGTCCATCTGAATACTGACAGTACCTAAGAAAGCATCACATGATTAAGATAAAGGAAAAAAATAGACTAATGCATTTGAGCTAAAAAAAAAATTTTTTTTTATTAATTTTAAATTTAAATTATAATTTTAAATTTATTAATTTTTTTTATCCTATTGGAGATCAGTGGAACATTTCAGTGCCTTCTGGCTAGCCAACTCTGATAAAAGAAAAAACTTGTAGGGGAGGTGAAAAAACCATTGGATATTGTGAAATTAGAAGAACCATCTAGTTGCCACATACAATTGTCCTATAGTTATGGCCTTGGTAATGCTGTTATCACAGGCATTGGGGGCTGGGGTGAAGTGCATTTTCCCCAA